TGTGAAGTCTTATTGTGTAACTTCCCCCACAGGGTTGGTGTAACAATACAACTGAGAAGGGGAGAACATTGTAAGCCACTTTGGGTCCCTCTTAAGGAAAAAAATGGGGTATAAATGAAATAAACAAACTAACCTATTTAAAGATTGAAAGAAAATTAAGGGATTTAGCTGATGGTCCAATGGAAAAAGATGGGTTTTAAGACGAGAGAGAAGTGACATCACATACATGTTAAGGGATAAAATTCTCTGCCTCAGAAGGCAACATAGGACTCAGAAGAGAAAGAGACCTCCTTTCAGTTGAAAGTGACAGAGCTGGCAATGAAAACAGCAATCCTAAGCAGGACTGCTCAGAAGCAAGCCCCATTCTATTCCGTGGGACATAGTTCCAGAAAAATTTCAGCCCAAATGATAGAGTCAAGGGTCAACCAATAGAATAGGGCAAGTAATACATATCTTTAAGAAGTTTGTGCTGGAAACAGAAGAAGATGGGAAACTACTGAAGGGTTTTGAGGACAATGGTAAGGTGAATGCTTTAATTTTGGATTGAGGTGAGAGGACTGAGATGAGAAGGAAGTGAGAAGAAGTTACATCAGCCAAGGCAAGAGAAACTAACAGGCCTAGTCAGGCATAAACATACCAAATATCTATGGCACAGATCAACAGTAAATAAAAAACAATATACTGCTCTAAGAAGGCAGTTCCAAAGAAGAGGAATATAGAAACTTCAGTAGACTGACTTGAGCCAGCAAAATAATTGCCGTTATGTGAGATCTCACTGCTGGCTAATTACTGATAAAGACTTCACAAAATACAGACTCAAACAATAGAAGCTGAAAAACAATAAAGTGCATGACCTCAGGAGGCTTATATGAAACTCCACTTTATTTCAGGAAGGATTTTTGCTTTTATACTTCTCTGTGTCTATCTTCTGGGCTGCCAAGCTGGGTTGTATGTCTTATTGGATGTGGCCCAGCTAGAACTATGGTAGGTACTGCAGGGACTCTCCTTCCTGACACAAACTAATATGCTGCTTCATGTGTCCTTCCTGACACAAACTAATATGCTGCTTCATGTTACAAATAAATAAAACAGTAAATTTAAAATGCCAAGAGTAAACACATGTGCAGAGAATAGAGTTGCTAAATCTTTTTAGAGTCTTTATACAGAGTGCTATACTCTCCCCGGGGGGGGGGGGGGGAGCCCTTATCCTCATTTGCAAAGATGGCATGCAGAATCAAGCATTTTCAGAGCCCAGAGGGGGTGGGCCTGCTGCTATGTTCCTTGATAGTTCTTAAATCTTTTTTGGCTGCTACAGTCTATAATACACTTTTATGTCAAGTCAAGTTTATTAGTATGGTCAAGCGACCAGCCAATATAGAACATTACCAAGAGGAATAATAATATAAGATATACTATAAATACATAAAATTCAAATGGATCTATAAAAGAACTTTAAAATGAGTACAATATCTCATTAAAACAAAACAAAAACAATGCTAATTTGTCATCAACTTGCTATCTAAGGTATAAGCTTCCTCTTTTTAAGGGCCAGGAAGCAAAATTTTGCCACAGCTAAAGATATCCTCTCTTTCCAATCTTCTAACAAAAAAATTAAAATCCTCAATTCCGCAAATTTCCACTGGACATCCAAGGGTTTAAATTTGGACAACAATGGGAAAATTAACAGCTGTCTCTCCCTAGCATAAAAATTACAATGTAACAACATATGTGATACCGACTCTATATCAAGATTTGTACAAGGGCAGCATCTTTGGGAGATAGGCCAATGCAAAAACCTTCCTTGTAACAAATTAGAGGGTAGGGCATCAAAACGTGCTCTAGAAAAAGCCCATCTATAGCCGTCATATGTGATGTTAGAAAGATATGGAGCGGGAGCAAAACCTATCCAGGATTTTAAGACTCCATATCTTGAAGGTAAGAGCGCTTCTTCTGTCTGAGCCTATATATCTATTAGGCGTTGGGTTACTATAGATTTAGCTTTAGTCAATCCTTGCTCCAAAAGACTTGCAGGGTAAAGCCCAATTGATCCAAGTTTGGCTAAAATTTTAGAGGACCAATCAGGATATGGAGTGGCAGCTAGTAAAGATGGAATTAGACCTGTAGGCTTCAAGTGCGTTCTCAACCAATAAAAAATGGAAGCTATCTAGATTTTCGTTTCCACTTTTGTCACCCCACTCTCCTGCCTAAGAACAACATTCACTGTACATTTAGGCGCATTAAATAATGCTCTAATAAATTTGGATTGAACTTTTTCCAGGTCCTTAAAGTTATTATCACTTATTGTAATTATTTGCGTACCATATGTGAGTTGGGTTAAGACCTTTGCGTCAAATAATTTCAAAGCTGCTAAAATTACACCTTGGCCCTCCTTTCTGAAAAATCTGATAATAGCATTAACATTTCTCTCAGCAGAGCAGATTGTGGAGGCTATATGTGCTGAGGAACTGCCATTATAGCTGAAAATTATCCCTAAAGACTT